TAATGTCTTCTTCACTAATATATATAGAAAGATATATTAAATGAAGTTATAAAACATACAGCCAAAATCTGTAGCCTATCCATCTACTATTTGACATAGTATCCCCTTCTTGCAAATATTTATAGAAAAGTATGTGATAACAATGGTCTGTATCTGGCTTGACTAATTTTAAATAAACTCAGTTCCACACACATGCCATTCTGACTGTTCCACAATGTACCTGTTTGTGATTTTACATCATAAACTCTTCAGGCTAAGGCACTTGTTTGATATAGTTTACCTATTGTACAGCTCAGTGTCCACTTACTGAAGTATAAATAATGTTCTCTAATTAACCTGAAGAACATGAAGCATAATCAAAGTTGTAGTTTACTTTCTGCTCTAGATTCTTGTGCACAAATCAACCTGTCCACATGTTATTACAGCTTGGCTGAAATAAACCTATCAGATGTTTGACTAGATTCTCTGGTTTAGAAAATTACCAGGGGCAAGAAATGATTTTTCTATGAACAAGTCATCTTGCTAATATTAATTTCCCACACTGCTGTGCAGAAATATTCTGCATAGGAGAACAGAAACTCTGCAAGTTTCAACTGTCTCTTCCACTACAGAACATGGTCTGCAAACCCACAAAGAAGCTAATGGTTCCACTCCCTTAACTTTTGGATTTCTGCTCAAACCGAATCAATCATTGGCACTCTCTGGATCACAGTTTCAGTGGTGCAAAAGAGAGCATAGGATTTTTATTCTGTCATCACTGGGAAAACTAGCCACATGTCATTGCCTGATAGTTTAAAAATGGTGGCCTTCCAGTTTAAAAATGGTGGCCTTCCACCTATGACTCAGAGGATGATGATGATGTTGGGAAAATAAGAGTCCCTCCACCTGGGAGAGATTTTTAGCTGCCCCATTAACCTTTGCATGACATTCTCAAAATACATGGCAATGATAGAAATATCCTCACATGGAAAGCACGGATGAAATACTTGTACTTTACTCAACAAAAAACAGGACTGCAATTAAGTCTTATAGTAAAATATTGAAAAAAATATTCTGTAATCAGTGAGATAAGGTGCTACTATTAAGCCACGAGCTAAAAAGATGGAAAAAAGGAAGATATCCATCTAGCTGATGAGAAGTGATAAAAATATTGTATAAAGGAATGAAAGATATATACACTGCTGCAGTTTGCTTTATTCATGCATATGGCCACATTACTCCACATGATCACTGTGGAAGACTCCAGCTGTGGTCTGAGAAGCAAGAAACCAGCCTATTCTTCTTGGAGCATATAATGAGACCTCTCTACAGTACAGGACCAAATTCTCTCTGAATCTTTCAGCCCTCAGCAAGCGGGCTGTGCTCTGGGCAGATTCTGGGCATCTAAGGGAGAAGGATTCCTTCTCCTCCAAGCAGTGGGACCACTCTGCAGCTACCGATGCAGCAGAGCCCTCTAGCAGCTGGGCTCCCCCTTTTCTTTGATCCTGCTCCCATTTCAAGCCAGTGGAAATTTTGCCACTCATTTCAATGACAGCAACATCCAGTTCCATTGTATCAGAAACTGTTAACTGATGTTGTTTCTTTTATATTATGGGATATTATGTATTAAACAAATTGATAAAGATGCATTTTCTAAAATCTGGAAACTACATTTGAACTGAATACATCTAGCTTATAACAAGCTCCCAGTTCATTATGGATAATGTGTGAAGTCTTCAGCATAAGAAATGCAAATATATACCCTGATGTGCTTTTTTGGTTTGCTTTTATAAATTTCATCTAATTTGTATTATGCTTTCAGTGGACATAAAATATATCGATGATGATTTCTCTTTTAAGAAATTGTAACCCAAAAGGAAACATTACGAGCAGTGGAGGTCAAATGTCATGCTTCAAACAATCATTTAGGACAAATCTAAAGACCTTTCATCTGATATTTCCTTCTTTCCTTCTTTCATCTGATATTCTTCTTTCATCTGATATTGTCAGATGATTATTATGTTTGTCATCTGCAATAACTTCTCTGTTGATTCATATTTGAAACCACGCACTGTAGTCATTTTTTGACTAAGCAAGTTTCAGTCAATAAGCAATCGCTTTTATATGGTGCACCAAAATGAAATTTGTTGATCTGGATGTATCATTTTGTAGAAACATTTACAAGAGTACGGATCTGTTCTGCAAAGGTGCATCGTGGTGGTGCGGGAGAGGGGGAGGAGTTCTCACCACATTTGCCCTTCCTCTTCAAAAAAATAAATAAATAAAAGCAAATATGTAAACATGTACCCTGATTTATATGCTGATCAAAAATGGGAGACTAAAGAGAGATATAGGTAGCTTCCTAACTACCCATCAAGATGGAATATTTTATATACCTCTCTCCCCTTGTTAACCACAAGAACTTCAAAGAAACAAATATAGTTCTCATTTTTGTAGCTTCTTAGCAGTATAAATCTGTTCCTTAGCCACTTTTATTTGTTACTTTTTCAGCCTAATAGTTGCCTTTGAAACCAGTTATTAGTATCTGAAAGGAAACAAACCCAGCAACACTTTTTCAGTACCTTGCAGTAATGTTACCTGAATTGAACCAAGAAAGTGACATTTTCAGGGAAGTGACTAAAGGTCCCAGATAAGTCTTTATGGACATTCCAATTGTCTAAAGAACAAATGCAAGATAAATATATACATATTTTGCCAATGGGAGGTATAAGAAATCACCGCAAATCACATTGCTGCTGGGTTTGGGAAAAATAACATGTACAATATTTCATATTTTAGCCTTGAGTTATTTTCGTCCCATTTTCAACTTCACTTGACAGAATAAAAAGGTACAATCTATTCTACCCCTTTCAAGCCCAATCCTAAAATAAACTACTGCCCCAATAAACTTCAAGAACAGGATCTCTTAGATTTATGTTCAAATGACATTCAAAATAACTGTAGATAAGCAAAGGGGACCAGTAACCAACTCTGTCATGTCACGCTCGATAGTATGTTATGGTCCAAGTATTATAACTCATTTGAAGGAGTTTACATCCCTTACTATGTTGCCAAAACCTGCATATCGATCATACAATGATACTCGCATGTGTCTTTTCAGGAAGAGGGTGTTTGAGGAAGGAGTCAAGAGGTTCATGCATGAGTATACCCTAACTATTAGGAGTTCTAACTCCTGCCTGCTGCAAAGGCAACTACGGCTGCTTGCCTGTTGGGCTAATGTTCTAGACCAGCGGTTCTCAAACTTTAGCAACACGAGGACTGCCGTTTTGATTTTGAAATTTTCATGGACCCCCAAACCCACCACTCAGCCACAGGCCCTGCCCCTACTCCACCCCTTCTCCCAAGGCCCCACCCGACCCCATCTCTTCCCCACCTCTTTCAGCCACCTCCCCCAAGCGCGCCCTGTCCATGCTCCTCCCCCTCCCTCCCAGCGCCTCCTGCATGTTGCGGAACAGCTGTTCCCCTGCATGCAGGAGGCACTGGGAGGGAGGGTGAGGGGTTAATCAGCAGGGCCAGTGGCCACAGGCATGATTCTGTCCCCTCCCCAAATGCACCCCAGCCCCCGCTTCTTCCCCTCCCTTCCAGAGCCTCCTGCACACTGCTGAACAGCTGTTCCCTGGCATGCAGGGAGGAAAGGGGAGGAGTTGATCCCTCCATGGACTCCAGTTTGAGAAACACCGTTCTAGACAATGGAAACAGCAGCAGAGAAAAATCATGAGGAAAATGTTACAATGCAGACTACAGCACTGGAAAATAGGTAAAACTGAATATTTTATGCTAGTCTCAGTAAATCACTTTTAGGTGCTGTCAGAAATTATGCTTATGAACATTCTTCTTCTAAACATCACATATTTCTCTTCTAACCAAGGGCTGTTCTACACTAAACTTCTAATGATTACTTATTTGATACTTTACTACTGATTAACATTCCCATTGATTTTTGGCACCATTATAATCAAGGCCTTGTCAGTGTTTCCATTATAAACTGTTATTATCCAGTACAGCACCATACTTTATTGAGTAAATAATATACACACTTTTAAGAGTTCCAAATTTTATTTCAGTTATGGACTATGAGGTTTATGAAGAGCTGCATCAATCCACTGAACACACATGTTCTTGGGATAATTTCGCCAATTAACTATTCTAAGGACTTCCTTAAAAAAATTAATTCACAATTAAGTCGGATATGATTCCTCTAATATCACCCTCTTATGCCCAACTACTGCAGCTGGTATGATATTCAAGCAGGGATTCCAGCACCAGCAGAGGGACCTTACATGCAAAATTAGTTCAGTCCTCCGGGCATACTGGATTTTTCAGAAATACTAACTAGTCCAATCGTATGACTTAAAAAGTCACAGTCTCGCATGACAAACTGCAGTATTGTTGCAGAATCCTTCCAAATCTTGATTTCTATTTCCTCTTCTGAGGATTTTAGAAATTTACTGGGGATAGGACACCGGACTGGGACTCTGAACACCTTGGTTCTATTTCTAGCTCTGCCACTGTTGTGTGATCTTGGGCAAAACCATCTATCACTCTATGCCTCTATTTCCGCTCCCACCCTTTGTGTGTCTTGATCAATTTACACTGTAAGCTTTTGGGACATGGGCCATTTCTCACTATATATTTATACAATGCTTAGTACAATTAAGCCTGATCTCAGATGGGACCACTAGACACTACCATAATGCAAATAATTAAAAAGTTATTTTCTGTTCTAAAAAACGGGTGAGCTTTTAAACGCAAAGGAGCGGGGACTTCTCCCGCCACACAAAAAGAATCCAAAATGAATACTTGAAATAAAATGTGCTTGATTTGTAAAATTTGTGATGCAAAATCTTCGAACATTTCTAACTCCATCGTGGCATTCTTAACTACAAGTTTTCTGTTACTTGTTTATTTAAACCAAGCTTTTTTATTTATGCAGAGGAAACAATTAAATGGCCTAAAATAGTCTCAACCAATTACCTCATTCATCCATGTACTGTACTCACTTATCTGATGACTCTGAAACCATCTCAACTTCTTGCAGATCTCTCAAAATATCTGAGCTGGAGCTGAAAGGATAATATAATTAAAAAAAAAAAAACACCTTTTAGTCTATATATGCAATCCTTGACAATTATCCAGAACTGGACTTTCAATAATAAATTAATTCTCATGGAACTTCTTATAGCTCCCCGATTCTCAGGGTGATTCTTAGCTGATCAAGGCTCCAGTATAGGTTAGTGAGGCTAAAGGACCACACGCCAGCTGAGCATAGCCAGAAGGCAGTATGTTCTGGCCACTTCTCCTTCCCACTTCTTGAACCAGAGCTCACCCGTGTGAGCAGGGAGGAAAAAGCAGCCATGTTGGTGGAATTCTCAACTGGCCAGATCCAACTGCTTTCCCTCCTCTTTGCACCAATCACGTAGTACAAGGGGGAGGGGCGCATATTAGCATAGAGAAACTGGCCCTTTAGTTGCCGTTTAGGTTAGCATCATGAAATAAAGACTCAAATGTATTATGTGAGCACCACCATGGAGCAGTTAAACATGACAGCCACAAGATTAACGAGTCTGAAGGAGATGAGAATAGTAATCCTTGTCTGTTTACAGGGTCCATCATGCATGAACGGTTTGATTAGGCAGATTTTAATGTAAAGAGATTGTGTCGAGTTTCTTTTCAAAGATAAATATTTTCCTGTCAATTTTTCTGTCAAACCTTTGATAGCAGAATAGCAGAATATCAATTACTTTACAAAATTTATCACCTCTGTTGAGGAACGACAAATTAAGTGTAAAAATCCTAATTATACTGAATTGCCATTTTCCAAACAATAAACCAATGTACTGTCGTTTTGGCTTAACTCCACTCCTTGTCCACCTCTCACAATCATTTCACAGGATTTTTTTCAAGTGTAGGGAACCTATTCATGTTATGGTGAACAAACTCTCCAAGCACTAAAATCATGTAACGTCATTGAAGAGAAAAGCTTTTTTTTTTTTTAAATAATTTCAATATATTGGATCAAAACCATGAAAATGTACGAATAATTTAAGCACAAATAAGTGAAAAATGAAAAAAAATCCCTGTTCAAACTAACGGATGATAAATGTCAGAGTTTCTTATGAACAATTTAATCACATCATGGTCACCTGTGGAGCAAAAACGTGCTGCTTTTGTGGAGCATCACAAATTTTATTCCCTAATGACTCCCATCTGAACCTCGTCTTTCCAATCTCCAACTGATTCCTTCATTCCCAACATTCATATTGCTACTGCATCTGCTCCTTCTGGCCAAACAAATAATCTACTTTATATTTCCTCCTGCCTGCCAACTGCTGCTCCAACACGTCCTCTTGCTCGGTTTCCAACCCTCTCCAGGTTTCCCAGTGCACCTAATCTAAGCCAGCTCTCCCGCTACCTTCTACAACCTCTGACACTCCACACAGCACTAGGATGGAATCTTAATGAGACAGAGTGCCATATTTTTTAAAATAATTTAAGAATGACTGTGCCAGTGTGCAGCCGGTATATGTGGCTGGGAATCGGTATCAGAAGTTCCTAAATCCCAGTGCAATGCTTAATATACGAGGCAACACTGTCCCAGTCAGTGCTTGAATCAAACACGTATATCATTTTCCGACTTTCCTTTTAAAAATGACAATTAAAGGCCAGAACGTGTACATAAAAATTAGGATCTGTTCATCCATTACCAGTTCTCTTCTTCTTGCTGCTTATTCCCCAGATGAAAGTACAATCCTTGATTGCAAAGATTACAATTAGTTGCCGTAGAGATAATTGTGAAATCACTAAAAGGATTAGGATTTCAGAGAAGAAATAAGCTACCAAAATCAGATTAAGTGCTATGAAACAGTGAGACTTCTTATGCGAATGTGCCTGCAGCGTTATTGTAGAAAGCTTGGGATATTACCTCACCCATTTTGTGTCTCTGTGCAAATGTGCTCAGTCACAATGATGAAAAGGGAAGATAAAAAGCAGAACCAATGGAGGTATACGGACAAAATTATTTCAAAGCAGAATGGGTTTTCAAAGTTTCCTGCGAAGCATTAGACTTTTTCCAATGACTCCTTTGTAGCATTTGTGAACCACTGAATAAAGAATCGGTAATTAACAATTATAATAAAACATATAGACTACCATAATCTGAAATTAAGAGCAGCGATTGTGATTATGGGGTAAATATCTTTCTCATGCACCAATTCTGGGCCGTAGGGCTTGGCACAAGAGAGCCCCACTGGGGCCAACGGGAAGGAATTTTGTTTCCCCCACAGGATGCAGAATGGGAGAAAAGTTGCTCCATGACTGCCTGGGATTTCCACTTGAGTTGCATCTGGCTTACGAACGGACACTTGCCTGGTGGGCTCAGTAACTCTCCAGATCAAGCTTTAGCATTCTAAACAAGCTCCAAAGGCTGTTGTGTATGCGCGAATGTATACAATCATTAACATGGCTACATAAACATAAACCACGCAGTTGACAGCAGTGAATGACAGACTCTTCCCCCCCAAAACAAACAGAAATGTCTGACACCCCTCCAATTCCATCCTTCCCACAAGCAGGAAAGTTAAGAGGAGAGGAATGATTTAACGTGACCTATGTAGAAGTCACTTGTGTTACTCAAATTCAGCAAAGCACTTAAGCACATGCTTCACTGTAAGCACGAGCAATCCCATGAATTCTGAATGTGACTATTCATGTGCTTAAACACTCTGCTGAATCAGGTATTGAAACACCAGCCCTGTCACAGAGCACCAGCATACTGTACCAGCTAAGAGCTGAAGAAACAAATGGACTGTGATTTTATAGTTAATTCAACTCTCAGGGGCTGGGGAGATGGGGAGGAAATAATTGGTTACTGTGCAATAATTCAACTAATCTGAGAAAGTTAACTAAAGTAAAAAGATACATCAGAGCGCCTGAAGGAAAAAAAAAAGTTAATTTGCCATGCCCTTTATAGCCCCATAACAAATAAGCATACTTAAAGAGAAAAAAAAAAAAGAAACAGCAAGCAAAGGAATGCAAAGTAATTGTTGCCTGTCATATAGTCACTTCACTGTGCATAGGTAATTTAAGGATCTCAGATCACTCTGGGTTTGTGGGATCTTAAATGCCGTAAATGTCCAGACACAACAGAGCTCATTAAGAATGGAGTAGCAGGCCTGCCTAGTGGTCTAATGAGAGCAAATTCTGTTGTCACAGCAGTGACCACTGTCTGAGTGCACACCCTGGAAAAAAATATCCCATATTATTCTTGAGATGGCTCCTCTGACCAAGGCAGAAGCAGCACTGGCAGGCTGCAGCAACCAATTAAGAAGGCACTCAATTGGAATAGATTTGATGTACACTCCCATTTATCTGAATGGCCTTGTGGACACCCAAAACTTTCGGACAACCGGATGTTCAGATAAACCCACTAATAACTTCTTAAGTAGCCTCTTTGCACCTGTTAGCATTCAAGGTTTTTTTTAATTGATTAGCACTACAGGTGCTTAGCAGATAATTAGCTGGTGATTAATACAGGGGTACATGGGGGACACACTGTGAATCTGTATAATTAGGATTTTCAGATAAAGGGAATTCAGATAAACAGGAATATACTATATACACACACTAATCTTAAAACAATGCTACACTGTTGACTTCAGTGGAGCTACTGCAGCTGTGCACTGGTTTAAGTGATAACCAGCCCACATCCTATATGGGTAAGCAGAAGCGTAATTCGATGCACAGACATAATGAAAGAAAAAAAGAAAAAAAGAAAAAAAAAGCCCTGAGGAGTCCTTGTGGCACCTTAGAGACTAACAAATTTGTTTGGGCATAAAGCTTTTGTGGGCTAAAACCCACTTCATCAGATGAATGGAGAGAGAAATACAGTAGGCAGGTATATATATTACATCACATGAAAAGATGGGAGTTGCCTTACCAAGTGGGGTGTCAGTGCTAACGAGGCCAATTCAATCAGGGTGGATGTCGCCCATTCCCAACAGTTGACAAGAAGGTGCGAGTATCAACAGATGGAAAATTACTTTTTGTAGTGACCCAGCCACTTCCAGTCTTTATTCAGGCCTAATTTGATGGTGTCCAGTTTGCAAATTAATTCCAGTTCTGCAGTTTCTCGTTGAAGTCTCTTTCTGAAGTGTTTTTTGTTGAAGAATGGCCACTTTTAAGTCTGTTATTGAGTGTCCAGGGAGATTGAAGGGCTCTCCTACTGGTTTTTGAATGTTACAATTCTTGATGTCTGATTTGTGTCCATTTATTCTTTTGCATAGAGACTGTCCGCTTTGGCCAATGTACACGGCAGAGGGGCATTGCTAGCACATGATGGCATATATCACACTGGTAGATGTGCAGGTGAATGAGCCCCACCACCAGTGATAGATGTTCCCCTGCACACCTACCGGACAGTAGGCTACCCCTCTGAAACCAGACATAATGAATGCTCACACATTTTGGGTGCACAGTGAGGCACACGGCCAAACAACAGGTTTAAATAAATAAATAAATAAAGTAATGGAGATATCCTATCTCCTAGAACTGGAAGGGACCTTGAAAGGTCATCGAGTCCAGCCCCCTGCCTTCACTAGCAGGACCAAGTACTAGATTTTGCCCCAGATCCTTAAGTGGCCCCTTCAAGGATTGAACTCACAACCCTGGGTTTAGCAGGCCAATGCTCAAACCACTGAGCTATCCCTCCCCCTCTGGGTATCTAATATTATTGATGTTGGGAAGTGCATTATCGCTTTAAACAAAGGTTATGCCATGATAGAAAATCAACAGCTGATTAAAAAGAGAACGTTTTTAATATAAAAGGACACAGAAAAATAGTTCTTATTTCAAAATAACATTAATTTTCACTGATAGGAAGTTTATTTCCAGGACAACAGAACAGCAGCAGAGGTGGCCGGACTGTTGTGTATTTCACATGTTGAGACTAAAGGCTACAAATTCTTTATTTCCAACATACTCTTCAAATCTTTACCATGTTGCCTTCTAATCACATTACCACTATGTTACCATCTGGCTGATCACTTCTGAACATAATTCCACCATG